AGAAAGAAGCTCGCTACAAGGAAGGAAGGATATTGAGGCATCAAAACATGGAAGCTCCTTTACAATGCGCGCGACTGTTTTACCAAAATCAACAAGGCGGGTCTGGTATTCTGGCTCAGTATTCTGGACGGTGTGGTGGAGGGTATATCGGACTTGAAGGAGCAAACACAATCGCCTTTGTTGCCACGATATGTTGGGCTGTTGTTTGAAGGAGAGCAGTACAAAGGTCTCAGAGGCATGATACCACTTTGAAAGAAATGCTCCATTTCCGAAACCACCATCAAAGAGCCAACCACCCAAGTTACAGTCACTGATATGATATTCATATACTCTAAACTTGTAGGAGGGGGCAACGAGTAATAAATAGTGAATGAAGAACCCCGTGGTATCGTCCCAAATTCATATAGAAGCCGGAAGAAACTCAAGAAAGGTAAACAATAAACACGTAGATCTTACCATCAATTGAATTCAGATCTTGTTCTCCTATCCCTTCTGCTAAGTAAAGACAGATAAGGGCTTACAATCCTCATGTATCAGCCCCATTCGCCCAGTGTCCAACTTGACCTTTCTCCACTTGATCTTCCTATACCTGGACCATACCCTGATCGACGCTCTGCCATGTGAGTTAGATCAGAGTCGCGGCTTGCCCCCGCGAGACCATGCTGTAGGAATTTTTCTCTTTCGATTTCCACAATTCCTTTCACCTTGAGGCTGGCAACAAGACTGGCGCCAGCCCAGGATCCGAGAGACTCGACCTGACGCAGAATCCCATGGGTATATGGGTTAGAGTCCTTGTTGGCCCGCTCCAACTTTTCGTCAACGAAATTCGCAGTTGACTCTGACTGGTTATCTCTTTGGGTGTCTCTACTCGAAGTGGAGCTAACGGGCCGTTGTTGGTTCCTAGAAATTTCTTGAAGTTGTCTTGGGCATGTGTTAACATTCATGCCTCTAACTGGGTCCCATCCATGCTTCTCTACAAGGCAGTCCACTTCGTCCATTACTCTCTGGCGAATACCTGGAATATTCGACCCCCCACCAACGAAAATGATCCGCGACATACATGCGCCACGGATATCGGGCGGAAGAGCGAGAAGGCTATGATAGACCAAATGATCAAGAGGCATTTCTTCATCATCGAGGTTTCTCGCCTCAGAACTTCCGGCAAATAAAGCCTCCTCAACCGGTTCGGAAAATTTAACGAATGGAACCTTCATGTCAGCTGTCGTATCTCCTGGCGATGATGGTAAAATGACATTGGAATCACATAACCGTGAATCTTCTGCCTTCGGTGAAGATTCCGTACAGGTCTTTTCATCGCGCCTAGCATTCCCTTTAGTTTTGCACCACGCGAGTCGCGTTACTATTTCTTCACACCACTCAAAGCTCACAGCGATTACATCATTATCGCCATTTCTATTATCGGATTTTTTGTAATCTCCCGAATTATTCTCTAGATTTGTAAGGAAAGCTCCCATTTTGTGGGTTAGCAATTTCATAGCACGAATGCTTCGTTTCGATTGAATTTCTCGATATTCATAAAGGCTTGTAACTGTGGTCTCCTCCCATCCAATATCAACGACAAGGGCAGATCTCAATCCTGCTGAAACAGCTGCCATGGCTGCGGACGGAAGTAATGTGATGCTGGGATACCTCCAGCGATTGAACATGGCTGATAGGAAAGATGCGAGAAGCGGATGAGGAACAATTGATGGTAACACAATAACCAGTCGCGAAGATCCCGCGTCTGTGAGGAGGTATTTGTTGTAAACTTCGCGAATTGTTCGTTCGATTTTGTCCTCGAAAAGTCCTATGTCAAAATCTCGGATATCCATCTTCCAAAGCTCGTAACTTTTTGACCATTCATCCACGCTTTTGTATACATTTTTCGAACTCGGGCCCTCATGCCCACCAGTTCTTATCCAACCCCTATAGTCGCCAACCCTTCGACCTCCCTCTGGGCTGAAACCAATGACACAGATCGGGGAGTTGTCCCCTTCGAACCCAGCACGCAGATACCGGGAGCCCAGTTCAAACACCACCGCATCCTCTTCGTGTCGAAACGAAGACCCAGGCGAAGTAGACCCGGTGTATGACGATAGTATCTGTCGCTGCTGGGGCGTATGAGGAGAACCGGGAAGGGGCTGTCGACCTTGACGGAGACTTGATCGAACTGTGCCTGTAGAGGTAAGAGATTGCCGTCGGCCAAAGCTTGACGAGGTTGAAGTAGTAGCCATATCACTTGCTCCCTGGTTGAAACTGGGGATGCGAAGGCAGTTTGGTTATTCTGGGAGGTTGTGCGTCCCTATTTGTACGACCGGGTTGCATCATTCCTTTCTGGAGTCGTTCATTTTATATATTCACCATCGCCATACCCATGTCGTATCAGGACCGTGAAATAATATGTAGACGAGATCAGCAGGCATGCCAAAATCCAATTGTTAGTTAGCTGTGGATGTTATCAAAGGGTGCCACAGATCCATGGATAGGTTATATCACGTGACAACGCGACGAGACCATCACCAAAACACAAGCATCTTCACATACCAGGAAAGGCCTAAATACATGCACTCTTTTATTGAAGGAACGGAGGTATCTCTACCTCAGTTGTTTGAATGGGAATTCCTGGGTAAGTTACATTCTCAGAGTAACCATCGGATGAATCGTGTTTACTGAATCCTGCCGGATAATTGCAGTCTTATCCAGTCACTCGGGCCTGGAGAGCGTATATCATTGGCTAAATTGGCAATCGACCATTTGCAACGCACATCCCGGCCCATTCGTGTCGCTATAGATATTTCGATATGGCTTTTCCAAGTCCAAGCGGGGAAAGGAGGCACAAATCCGGAGCTTCGAACTCTCTTCTATCGCCTGGTACGATTGACTGGATTGCCCGTGCATCCACTCTTTATTTACGATGGCCCGCAGAGGCCTCAGTACAAGCGTGGCAAATTAATTGACAGAAACAACAGAGTTGGCGATTTGGGGAGGATAATACGCCGCTCTAAACACTTGATAGACCTGTTCCACTTTCCGCATCACACAGCACCAGGAGAAGCAGAGGCTGAATGCGCACGGCTGCAAAGCTCTGGGGTAGTGGATGCGGTTATGAGTGACGACGTCGATGCTATTATGTTCGGATCGAAGGTTACGATCATGAATTTTTCTAAAGAAAACTCTAGTGGAACGAATGCTGCTACCCATGTTACTCTGTATCAGACCGAGGAGAGTGGGGATGGACGGAAACGAAATGTTCTGCTTGATAGGGGTGCCATGATTCTTTTTGCATTGTTAAGTGGAGGCGACTATCTACCCACTGGAGTACCAAAATGCGGCCCGAAGCTAGCAAGGGAAATTATACAAGCTGGCTTCGGTAACGAATTATTACAAGCCATTGAAGGTAGTCCAGCGGAAGTCGCCGTAAAGTTGGAGAAATGGAGAGAACGGCTGCGAAACGAGCTCCATGAAAATGGCGAGGGCCATTTCAGGTGCAAACATAAGGCTGTCAAAATTCCAGATTGCTTTCCAGACCTGAAGGTGTTGGGTGACTACACGCATCCAGTTGTTTCCTCCTCAGAGAAGTTAAATGAGCTACAGCGGTCATTTAAGTGGGACCAAGCCATTGACATTGAAGGCCTTAGAAATTTCGTTTGGAATGATTTCGGCTGGCAACGTGGCTCTGCAAGAAGATTGACAAAGGTCCTTGCGGCACCTCTTGTGTGCAATAGATTGAGACTTTGCCTTCCACTTCTTGCCAAACCCGACACATTACCTCTCCGTGAACCAAAAATAGGGACGCAATTTTGTGGACAAAGGTTTCACTACAGCACCGACGGACTGTCAGAGTTGAGGCTTGAGTTCATTCCCACCGATATTGTTGGTTTAGACTTGACTTACGAACCCACCACCGCGTCGCAACGGGAGAGTGAATCCGAAGATCTCGATAATCCGGAAGAAGATGTAACCAACCTCAAACTAGGTACACGACGGCGAACGACGTACGATCCTACACAAAAAGAAAAGGTATGGGTCTTTGAAGCTATCGCTGAGATGGGAATGCCAGACGCAGTCATGACATGGAATTTTCAAAAACAGGAAAAGTTAGCGCTTGCGGAGAAACGAGTTTCCCGAAAAAGAGCTCCAAAGATGACGAAACCAAAAGTTGTGGATCCGAAAATGAAATTTGGAGAGATTTTAAAGTACTGCACTGTCGTTAAAAGCCCAGGGACTAGACTAATCAAGTTTCCTTCATCCAGCTCTCAAAAGCATATGCACTGCGATGATTCCACTATCACGAATGGATATGCGTCTGAATTAGAATCACCATCTAGTCAAGCATGTTCTCCGAGCAAAAGAAATTCCATCGCCAAGCCAAGGCCATTAGAGAAGGCGGCATTAAGTGATATTGAGGCAACAATGAATTTTGAACGTGCTAATGAATGTAAGTTCTACTTTCCATTCCTTCCATGGTATTTTAAACCTTCCCTCGCTAATAACTAGCGGATCAATACAATACTTCCGTGGAAACAATAGAAAAGGCCATGCTTGACATGAAAATTTCATCTGATATTGGACAATCTTCACCCACGAAGCGAGGCCGTATCCGTACAGTCAGCCACAAGGCGGCAGGTTTGCGAGCCATCCCACCTACCAGCCCGCAAACACGGAATCGAAATAAGTACAAAGATACCTCAAATATCTTTCCACCCGTTGAGAATTTAGATATCGAACGTGAAAGTAACCCGCCAGAGTCGAACACGATTAAATTGCATTCACGATTGTCAATATCCGAGTACGACCTTCCCACCGCAGACGACATGTCGTCCCAATTTTCAGGGCTCAAAATTCAAGATTGCAAAGTTGATGAATGGTCTGAATCCTCACACACCATCGCCGAAGGAAGTGGGACTTCGCAGAATATTCCCCCAGCGTCTACAGCCGCGAAGCTTTCATCAAACGACGACCGCAAAGAGTTACTTTTTGAAACGGAGAATTCCAACCATACGTCAAACTCTCAAGTTGAGGTAACAGAGCTGCCAGTCATCGAAATTTATAATGGATATTGGGCATACAGGCAACGGACAAATAATGAGGAACAGCATTCTCCTGAAGTGCCAAGCGACAATCAGGGGAACCTCTACCATACTCAACAGAAAACTATCCTGGATAAGAAACTAGGGAAGATGAAATTACGGGGGCGAGTAAGCATTTTGGATTTGAGTCAGAAGTAATGGGTACATAAAATTATACAGTGGCTATTGGTTATGTGCAAGGATACATTTTGGAAATTCCCCAGCAGACTCCATAGTCTGGCTTCTTGTTTAATCTTGCTTTGGTTAATATTCGACACTTCTTCTCTAAGCATACTCCATATGGAAATGCAAATTACCAACAACACACCTTCAGGACTAATATTAATGTTCGTTTATTAGATATTAATAAACCGCTAAACTAATGTGAAGTTTCTTGCGCCAACAACTCCTACCTCTTGCCTTAAGTAAGGCAAACCTATACCATGTTTAACACTGTAGAATAGATAATATATATTTCCTAAACTAATAACTATACTATCCACCTCAACCAAAACGCCAAAGTTGGGAAGGGCTGTACGAGGATCCAAAAATGGCATGAAACGCCTGTGTTGCGAATGAATATATGAAATGAAAAAAAAAAAAAAAATAATAATAATAATAAATAAATAAATGATAGGGGAGCGATAGGAAAGGGGTGTTGTCAGATCTATCTGTGATATCGAAAAATGGGGTGACTGGGGCTAACATAATGTATTGCCGAAATGTGATTCCAAAATCACACTGGAATGAGCTTGTAACAAATGAGATGAGATAGGGCCGGGGATAATGGGAAACATCGTAAGTGTACTTTAGAGTTGGAAACGTAGTGTTCGTTAAAAATGAAATCATCAAGAACCATTTGAGTAAAAGAAAGTGTGGATACAATGGGAGCGAGAGTGTAAACGGAGAAGTGAAAATAAACCATATCATCTGAAAGTTTTCAAAAAGCCCCAAATCCCGACACTACTAAGGACAGGAATGGTAAGGTTATCATCCCATCCGAAGACGTCTACGAGTTCACTGCCAGCAGCCACTATTCCAGTCCACATACTCATGATGCCCAAAGCCAGGGGTCCAGTGACCACTGCTTTAGCTGCGGTAGCTGCAGATATGCCGACCCACCCAAGGTAGCCCCGAACGAAGTTTGGAATCAGATTGAGAGTACCGTTGAACATGAACGATCCTTCAGGATCGTCAGGGAATGAACCGACCCAGGGGGCAAGATATCCCCAGAAAGCAACCGCAGTGGCGACTCCCGTGGCCCAGGCAGCAAGAGTGCCAGCCAAACTCTTTCCCCGGCGGAGACGAACGGTATATCGGCCGTACAAACGCCCAAAGGTAGAAGCTGCAGTGTCACACCAACTCAGGAGCAAAACACCCACCACACCAACATCCTTTGGGAAGAAACGAAGAGAGATATATGCTCCGAGGAGGTACCAGATCACACCATTGTACCCAGTCACCTCGGTTTCTCGCATAAGCGCTCCCAGGCACCGAATGTAGAGCTTGTTTACAGGTTGATAGCGGTGGCGGAGGAAGTCGGTAACAGCAATCGGGATCAGTGCAGTTAGAAGCCAGGGAGCCACGTTCAAGGTCTGCACCCCTCGGCAGTAGAGATGAAGCGTGACAAAGCCGATTGAAACATGGAGTAGTTTGCGCGGGATTTCATGGCGATGGATAAAAGTCCTGTAGTGTCTATGAAGCGGTATAAGGCCTAAGGGTGAAGGGGAGCGAGAGAAATCCCGCCAGCGGTTTTGAAGGCTGGAATATGGGGAAAGATGGCCATTCGCAGGGACATATCCATTTGACAGGTGTTCGGCTTTCGATAAGCCTGTAATCGATGCCCCATTCACAGGTGTTAGTCCTGTTATCCGACGACGTGCTTTATCTGGTGAGAGTCCAGTCGGACTGCGGGAGCGTGTTCGCGCGAGGCGGTCTGTATTAGAGTCCGGGCTTGATTCCTCGTCTCTCTCATTTTGCTTCTTGTTTTCCTCTGAGATGGAGGGAGGTGAAGATAGGCGTTGTCTCGCAGACACAGATCGTGTGACACGACGGGACTCTACATTTTCGGCAATCGAACGATCTGAAGGGGTAGGTGACGGCGAAGTTACGCGTGGCGTCGCAGGGACAGCGTATTGGGCTGACATGACAGCGGAGATCCCGGGTGCGCTGGAAAATGCGATCTAGACTTATTGGCGCGGCGACGACAGCGAAAGATCTCAAAACTAGAGCCTTTTGAAACTCCGGAAGACAAAGGCCAGGAACGAAAGCTAGAAATGGGCAAATATTCCTTGGGATGGAGCGAAGAGACCTGTTATTTGTCAAGCGACCCTCGCCTCAAAAACGCAGGCGCATTCTGGACCAGCAAACACAGACGCTGTGTGGCCCCTTCAGTTCCCCTAAAGCCGCGCGAAGTAACAGAGGGCAAAACGGCAGTACAGAGGGGAGCTAGAGAAGAGATAGAGGTGAGGCCGCGTTTATCTGAGAGAGCGAAGATGACTTGACTTTTTCAGCCCCAATTTTTCCCAGCTTGTTCCGGCAGAGCTCCGCTCATGTCACGTGAAAAACATTTAGTCATTGTAGCGGTGTGGAGTGGCAGAAAATATCGCAAACGCCAAGACATTTTACTTTTTTACCGCTTTGGGAAGCACGGTGGGCATCGACGTCTTCCAACCTCACTTCACGTCTCTGCATGAAGCTTTAGTACAGATGAAATGGCGACATCAGCATCCCGGATCGCTCCAACTACTCCACAGAGTTCACACTCCAGAGCTTGGGATGCACTCACCCCTCCGCTCTCAGAATGGATCCTTGATGCGATTTCCGCAATGGGCTTCTCCCGTATGACCCCAGTCCAGGCGTCGACAATTCCTCTGTTCATGGCGCATAAAGATGTCGTCGTCGAAGCTGTGACTGGTAGCGGGAAGACACTAGCCTTTTTGATTCCCGTTGTGGAAAGGCTTTTACGGCTCGAATCGCCAATTAAAAAGCACCATATCGGAGCAATTCTCATCTCGCCCACAAGGTAATTTATATTGCCCAAGTATCATCCCGGGAAGGCAGAAGCAGGAAGGCGAAGAGGGGCTCAAAGAGGCTAAATTAAGCTAATATACGGGAATAGAGAATTGGCCACTCAAATCTACAATGTCCTGCTCTCTCTGCTAGCCTTCCACGGCCCTTCCGCGGCGCGACTACAGCGCACAGAAAACAACAGCGGCGAAGTAGACGAGTCTAACCCTGCCTCATCGTACCCACCGTCTACGTTGAAAATAGTCCCGCAACTCCTTCTAGGAGGCACTACAACCCCCACGCAAGATCTAAGTGCATTCCTAAAGCAATCGCCTAACGTTCTTGTTTCAACGCCCGGCCGCCTTCTCGAGCTTCTATCTTCACCCCATGCCCATTGCTCCCAATCATCATTCGAGGTCCTTGTCCTCGATGAGGCTGATAGACTCTTGGATTTGGGTTTCAAGGAAGACCTCCAAAAGATTCTCCAGCGATTGCCCAAGCAACGGCGAACAGGTCTTTTCAGTGCTAGTGTAAGTGAGGCTGTCGACCAGATCATCCGTGTCGGTTTACGGAACCCGGTCAAAATTGCAGTCAAAGTAAAAGGGGCTGGCCTGGAGGACAAGCGAACTCCAGCTAGGTATGTATTATCCCAGGTGGCACAGATAATCAGTTTGCGTTATGTTGTTATTTGTCTTAACTTCATTTCCAGTCTCCAAATGACGTACCTCCTCACACCGCCCACCCACAAACTTCCCGCTGTGAAATATATCGTCTCAACCCTCTCACCCACCCCACAAAGATCAATCCTCTACTTCTCCACCTGCGCCGCAGTAGACTACTACCAGCACATCCTTCCTTGCATCCTACCAGATCGATTCACCACAATCCCCCTACACGGCAAACATCCGCCACAAGTCCGGCAGAAGAACTTCACCCGCTTCGTCAACTCCGTCACCTCCTCCATCCTCCTAACCACTGACGTGGCCGCCCGCGGCCTCGACATCCCAGCTGTAGATCTAGTAATCCAAATCGATCCCCCGACGGATCCGAAAGCGTTTCTCCACCGCTGTGGGCGAGCAGGCCGCGCCGGCCGCCGTGGTCTCAGCGTCATTTTCCTCCACCCAGGCCGAGAAGAAGATTACATCGCCTTTCTCAACGTGCGCAAGACACCCGTGACGGAATTCCAATCCACCTCCACATCTACACCCTCGCAATTATACTCATCGTCACACTTCTCCGCCTCCTCACCAAAAAACCCACAAACCTTCCACCCAATCCAAATCACCACCGCCGACGCCACATCCACGACCGAAAAAATCCGCGCCCTCGTTCTCCGCGACCGCGCCATACACGATAAAGCACAACGCGCCTTCGTCAGCTGGCTACGCAGCTACAGCAAGCACCAGGCCAGCAGCATATTCCGCGTCGCGGACCTGGACTGGGAAGAACTGGGGCGGGCATGGGGTTTGCTGCGGCTACCTACGATGCCAGAACTGAAGGGCTTCACGGGCGATAGGAATTTGGGCGTCAGCGGGGTCGATTGGGATAATTATGCGTATAAGGATAGACAGAGGGAGAAGCATCGGCGGATGGAGATGGAGGGTCGGAGTAGCAGCAATGTTAATAATAATGGTGATGCTACTGGTAGTGATAAGGGGCCATTGAAGAGGCCGGCGACCAGCGAATCGATCCCGTGGAGTCAGAATCTGGAGAGGAAGAGTGAGAAGGAGCGGAGACGGGAGCGGAAGAAAATTAGGAGATATCATGAACAGTGGAAAAAGATGACGGAGGAAGAGAAGGAGAGGGTACGAGAGACTGAGCAAATGGTGAATGCAGTTCGGAAAGCTGTACAGGAACAGGATCAAACCGTCACTCGGGAAGAGGAGTTCGAGGGGTTTGATTAGGTGTTACAAAGGCATTTGCAACCTAGGGGTTTTACTGCATATAGGCCAGTAGAAGTACTAAGTCGTCTCCACGCAGTGTTTATCGGTTACGAGGTTTTCATCGGGTTACAGTTGAACGTGGTTTATTAAAAGTTGGACGTGGTTTAAAAAAAGTGGGTCTGAAAAATAAACCATGCTCAGCCCTCACTCCCTCACTAAAATGCATATATACTAAACAACTTTTACACACTCTCACTATATTATTAATCAACTCTCATTTAACTAGTCCTTCTACTTCAACATCTGAGACACTTCAATATCTGAAAAGCAGTTATGCTAGAATTAGTGATTAATATTAGTTAAGAGATAGAGCTTTGAGAAATAAGATAAAATCACTGTGCCCAATGCATTTGAAGATGTGTGAGATATGTATGAGACATGGCTAGTGTATGTAGTTTTAATGGGGTGGTTGACATGGTTTATGGTCAAAACCACACCGAAGGTTATTCCAGCCCGAAAAATTAACCATGTTCAATTTTTTATTAACCACGTTCAACTGTACGCCCGGTTTTCATGATTCAAGACAGTAAGAACATCTTCATGAAAAATTCCGTTTGCGCCTCCCTCGCCCAGCCTCCTGTACTCCAACAAAAGCTAAACTTACATGATACGTGCATACATACGTACATACGGGCGTGCGTACCTACATACATGCACCCCGTTAACCCAATCTACTTGCTTTCCCTAAGAAAAGGAAGAGAGGGCATAAACGGGCAGTAGAACATAAATGAATAAAATTATAAAGGAAATCAAACCAACCCAAACCAAAATAACACAATACAAAAAACTATGAGCCTTCGAATACACCCAGTCACCCCCCCTCTGAAGCGAAGGAGGGCATAATGCGAAAGAACTCAAAACATGAAATGAAAAAATAAAAAGAATAACAACACCAAAAAAAAAAAAAAGACAAAAAGCAACGCCCCCTCCCCCCCAACCCCCTAGGCGGCCCGCCCCCGCCTATACTCCTCAAACCTCTGGCAAAACTCACCATACGAGCCCAGGTTAAAGGGCTCGATGGGAGCTGCCCCCTCCTCTTCCTCCTCTTCCTCTCCCCGCTCCTCCTCCTGCAGCTCCGACTCCTCCAACCGGGATTTCTCCCGGCGGAATCGCCGGAACTCGCGACTGAACACCTCGTCGGCCGCGTCGTCATCCTCCTCTAACCACATCTCACGAACCAATTGCCTTATCCGGGGGGTTGGCACGTGCGAACTTTGCGCCGACGACCCCCCCAGGTCGCCGGGCAAATTCTCCTTGTCCGCCACAGAAGCCTCCCCTTTGGCTTCCGTGGCTTGGCGTAGCTCACGTCCGTTGAGATGTGGTAGAGGGGAATCCAACAACGGCCCAAAGTGTTCAGGCTCCGAGGCCATATTGTCACCACTGTCTGGAGCCGACAGCGGACTGGAAGAGTACCGGCGGGAAGCACGAAGCCCGCTAGGGAGCTTCGGCTTGTACTTCTCGGCCTGTGAACGGAGCTTGGCGACAGCATCCGCGCCAACGGGTGTGGTAGGCTGCGATGGAAGAGACGCATAAGCCGGCGTCGGGCGAGGCGGCGGAGGTTGTGTCCAGTTATTAGCAAAGACAGAAGGCTGTTGTGATGTTTGAGAACCAACCGGCGCAACCTCAAGAGCAGTGGATGAGGACTGAGAGACACCTGGTGATAATGCGGAAGGTTCGTGCGCAGTAACTTGACTTTGTAGGGAAGAGGAAGTAGCCGTGTCACGATCCTGGGGAGTTGGGGCAGGTGTTTCATTCGCGGTGGCGCCAGTACTGAGACTTGTAGTTGTTTCCGCCGCTTCCGCTGCAATCTCCTCATCCTCATATAAATCATCATCGTCTGAAAACATATCGTAATCGAGGCAGTAAGTTCCAAATGGATTTGGACGAATAATCGGTGGAGAAGGCGAAGATGGCTGGGGATCTCCCAGAGAATCGGATGAAGGTGTTTGAGGGTTGGCAGGTGAGGTAAACGTAGACGGTTCGCCGGTAGAATGGTCGCTGGAGATATCCATAGGATCATCTGTATAAGGAAGGGATGAACTTTGTTCCTCCGTTGTTCTCTGGTCATCGTCGATGTTTTTGGATTGAGGGTGGCGGAGTCGAAGTTTGGATGGAGTGTTCTCAGGACTAGCATCAAAACGAACGCGCTTTGTAGCACGTAGGATACCTCGAATAGCAGGTTGCTCTGTTGGTGCAATGGAGGCCGGAGGTTGTTCAGTGTCAAATGCAGTTATATCTTCGGGCGTAGAGTCATCATCTGCGTCGCTTAGTGAACTGTCTCCAAAATATCTTAAGTCCATTCCATAGCTGGCGCCTGGGGGGTTGGGAATTGGTTGTGGAATGGAGTGCTTGCGTTTTCTTGGGATCTTACTACTGCCGTTGTTATTGTTATTGTTATTGTTATTATTGCCGGGCGCGTGATGCTCATTGTTGCTTTCAGTTTCCTTAGAAACGGTAGTTTCAGTCGCCAGAACTTTTCGGGCTTCATTCTGTGAGTATGGAACATCCGGAGGGGTTCCCAACAGCTGGCGCCGGTTTAAGGGTTGCGGAAAAAGTGAGTATGTCATATTCTCTGGATCCCGGGATTGCTCGAACTGTTCAGGTAGCTCACCCTGATCGGGGGTACTGGTAACTGGTGTGGATTGCGCAAGTCTCGTTACAATTTCCGGCGGTGTCCGAAATCCCTCTGACGACAACTCTCTTCGCACTGGAGACAGGTTAAATGTAGGAATGAATTTTGAAATCGACCTAGGAACCGAGTTAAATAGCCCTCGAATACCCCAGGTTCGTGTTGGAGTTTGAGGGGCTTGTGGAGACAGTGGTTGCTCCTCATCTGAGAGTTCTGCTGCATCTGCTCGCATCTGGCTGAGCACGTCCCATGCTGGCTCGTCGACATCGGTGTCCTCTGCGTTACCATGTATGGCTGTATTTCGGTCTGCATTGTTTTGGGCAATTAATTGGGGGATGCGGAAAAGGGTTTTATCAATCCTCCCTTGGCTCTCTACTGCTCTGCGGCGTGACCGTTCGGCATACGGAGTCACTCTTCGCTGTCTGTGGCGAGTGATAGACGAAGTTACAGCTTCGCGGCGTTTCTTCGAGGATCGCAAATCGTCATCATCGTCGCTTGAATCTTGTCGTCGCACTCGCTTCTTACGGGGTGAAGCTGAAACTTTGGTCAGCGATCTCTGTCTCTTAGGTTGACTGGCTCCAAAAAAAGGGTTAATATGATGATGATTATTGGGGCAGATCAGTGTCGTAGAACAACATGCACATTTAGGAGGCATGTACGAAGCCAGAGTAGGCGACGTTTGCGTCCCTGTAGAGTTTGTCCTAGGTGATGGAGCAAATGGCATAATATCATCCAAACAACCAGAGGTGGTACCAGAAGTTCTAGAACTTCTCAGAGAACCCCGCGAACGGTGAAACCTGTTTCGAGGAAATGGTCAAAGGGGGGTG